TGAACAACACCTATGGGAGCGGTGTCATACGTCATCCAGCTGCGTATGCACAGTGAGAGTCGTGGGAATGCAAGATGACAATGGTAAAACGTAGCAAATGTAGGAGATTTTACAGCTGAATGCTACAATTTTTATTTACAGAGTGGCACCTCACCATGTGCATATGACACGAGATTACAGGATTAAAATGGGCTTTAGACTCCAGAGATCATCCACTCCAACCCCCCTGCTCAAGCAGGGTGCACAGGACATCGTCCAGAGGGGAGGTTGAATATCTCCAGAGAAGGAGACTCCACAGCTCCCCTGGGCAGCCTGTGCCAGTGCTCCGTCACCCTCAGAGTAAAGAAGTTCCTCACGTTCACCTGGAACCTCTTGTGCTTCAGTTTGTGACCATTGCCCCTTGTCCTGGCACTGGGCACCACTGAGAAGAGTCTGGCTCCATCCTCATTACATCCACCCTTAAGATATTTCATAGAAATATAGAATGGTTTGGGTTGGAAGGGACCCCTAGAGGTCACCCAGCCCAACCCCCCTGCAGGGAGCAGGGACACTGCTAACCAGATCAGGCTGCTCACAGCCCCATCCAACCTGGCCTGGAATGGTTCCAGGGATGGGGCCTCCACCCCCTCTCTGGGCAACCCCTGCCAGGGTTTCACCACCCTCATTGTAAAGAATTTCTTCCTTATAGCCAGTCTAAACCTACCCTGGTTCAGTTTAAAACCATCACCCCTTGCCCTGTCACAGCTGTCCCTGCTAAAAAGATTTTCCCCATCTTTCCTATAGGCCCCTTTTAAGTACTGAATGGCCATAATCAGGTCTCCCCGCAGGTCTCTCCTCTCCTTGTATGTGTTGATGAGATCCCCAAGTTATCCACAGCACTGTTCCAAGATCTACAGCACTGGCCTCAAATATACCTGTCTGGAGGGTAAAAAAAAAAAAATCATTCTACATTCCTACCCTGATCCTACACCAAACACTGACATTTGCCTTCTGGCAGAGTACTGCCTGAAGCATCGTGCTGCTTGTGCATGAACGATTCCCAGCTCTGTTTCGCTGCACCGTGCTGGAGACAGCGCACGTCTGGCAGCACCATCTCCTACTGGATGGCAGCAGCAACACCAACGATGCATCACTAATGCTCCAGACAACTGAGAAGTTGGCCCTCACAGAGTGTTTTGGGCTTAACACCTTTACGAATGGAAGCTACCTCTGTGTCTGCCCATCATCCTGAGCTCTTCTCCACTGCACTCCATCCCCTCAAGCCTCACCCCCACACTTTCAAATGTATTTGTCTTTGGTTAACAACTCCGCTTGTGAGACAGTTACATTTCTGGAAGGTTCAGGAAAAAGCAGCAACAGGGTAAAGAAGGGGATGAAGAACTGTTTAAGGCAATATAGTCCTCACTATAAAGCCACCCTTGCCCAGGCAGCGTGTTATAGAGAAAAGCTGGTGGGAAGGGGGTGCCAGGAGTCGTTCTCTTCTGCCACCTGCAGAAAACGTCTCTGATACGGATCTCAGAATAGATTGGAATGGGTGGGATGTCATACCCAACACTTTGGTCTGGTTTTCCAACACGTCCTTCTTCAAGTGTGGTACAGCTAACTCGCACACACACACACACCTCTGGGGCTTCATCAGCTCCACAAGGTCCAGAAAACTCTAGAAAGGGCTGGAGCAGGGGTCTTCTCAGCCAACTCCTTTAAGACTACCTGTGGTCAAGCTACCCAGGCTGGGGATGTATTCAATCCATCCATGCTTAGGTACAAACTGAACATGCCTCTGGCTATCAGCAGCCTGGAAATAGCATTGTTATCTTCATGCCATACATCAGCACTCTTATCTGTACACATCTCTGACTAGCACCGAAGACACAGATGCCTCCCAGATCATCACAAGTAGTTGTGCTTTTTATTGAATCCATTGAATGTGCAATTAAATCAGATATTTATTCATCAATATAGTTCTGGACAAAGACACAATAAGGTTTACATCATTTACTCTGAAATATAAGTTAATGTATGCTGCTGTCACTAGGACTAGCAGAGGAAAGAAAGGAACAAATAAATTCACAAGATCGTACATAAAATGAGAGGGAATAAGAACCACTGGGACTCGCAATGTCATCACGATACAACAGCACTGCCAAAGGAAAAGAAACCAGAGTGAACTGACTAAAATACTCCAGCTGCTGTAAGTACGCGCTAAGGACTACAGTACCTCCACCTCTAGGCCTGAAAGAATGCGAAGCACCCTCCTTCCCTGGGAACGTCATTTTGGGTACAAGCTGCTAGCCCTTAGCAGCGTGTCTGGTCAAGTTTAGGAAGCTACACTGACTAAGATCTCATAAATAGCTTTGATTTCATGCCCCACCAAATTGAGGTATGTTCCATGAACCTTATTAAACGTGTGAAGCCAAAGAACCAGAGGGGAGTAGCCTCATGCAATCATCGTTGACAGCATCTCATTGACGTGAGATAACTCTTGGGGAAGGACCATGTAGCAAAGACTGATACATTCCCTTATTTCAGTGCAAAAACACAGCAATACACATCTCGTGCATCTGCAGAGCTTGGCTTCCTCTCTATCTCTAAGGAGGAATTTCAACCTTTGGTAAAGGTGGCAGAAAAATGGGATATAATGAGGCTGGCTAATACCAACGCTGCCATCTACACTGCACTCACGAAGAGCTTTCAGGCTGGAATCAGCATCTCTAAAGCTGTTGGTGAATTAACAATGAGCTTTGATGCCTTCAATACTGGATTTGGAAGTTTTGTCTACTCTGATCAACATACTTCCCTGCCTCCTTCCAGTCCCTAATGCCCCTAGCCAGTCTCTCTCATTGGGCCACAGAATGCCTGGGTATAAAAGAAAGCAGGTGTCAGCATCTCGGCAGTTCTGGAGCTGAATTATTGTGGGCACTGTCTTTAGGTGGCTGGCTCAATGTTCAATGAGGCATAGGATGACACAGCAAGAAAGCATTCATCAGATCAGGATAACACAGAGTAGTACTTTAATATGCCTTCACCACAGACTGTCAGGTTTTATTAGAAATCAGGATTTCTTTTCTATCGTAGCAACTGGGTGCTGGACACAAGTGAGCGTTAGCTTCAAAACTTACAGGGCATTTCCCCCATGCTATAATCAAATGAGAACGCAGCCTCGCCTGCACAGAGACAGAAGCACAGTGTTCCAGAAGACACTTCCACATGACACCAGTATATTAAAGACGAAGAATAAAGATACTGTATTGCACTAAACATGCAGATTCCACATTGGGTCTTGGAAACAGGGGAGCATTTCACTTTGTCCAGCATGTTGAACACAGAAGAGTAAAGATCCCAGTGTATATTCTCCAGGTTGGTCACTTTTCCAGCTGTTGATCTTGCGCTTGGTCCACCTTCAGTCTAGGGAAGGAACTCTTGCAAAAGAAGCCAAATCCATCAAGAAAGCATGCACATGTATGAAAGCATCAAGCATACACTGGAACCCACTCACATGTAGCCAGGACAGATACTGTTGTGAGTTTCCCCAGCACAGGTACTGCCCTACATGTATTAGAAAGTCATTTTCTAGGAGATGCCACTGTCAAGACTGGGCTCAACTATTCCCTGTGATACCTACAGG